GATATTCCTAACCATGATTCAGCGTGACCAAGTGGTATTTTGGTTTATTACCCAGAAAATATCTACTCATTCCTTTGGCTTATCACTACCTGACGACACTAAAGAGAATGCGGAATCACCAAGATGTTTGTTAAATTGTTTTTCACTGCGTCACAAAATGATACATGAATGAATGATTTTCCTAACTTTGATTAAGCGTTACCAAGTGGTATTTTGGCTTATAACCCTGACCACACCGAAGAGAATGCGGGATCATCAAGATGTTTGTTAACTTGTTTTTGACTGCGTCACAAAATGATACATGGGTAGGTCTATTGTCGGTTGACAACGTAACGATGTATACTTCAAATAAATGCTTGCGTGAGGCTTTTTGTGGATAGCTTGATCAATTCATGACAAAAGAAAGTGTTTGTAAAGCTTTGATCACAATGAGTGCAAACCTTGCTTGATTAAAGTGCTATCCCAATGTACTTAATACTCGCCTTGGAATAGTACAAAGAGTTCCAGCTGCAGATAAAAAATTTACCTTTCTCATTAATTTATCACAAATAATGTCACAGAACATAAATATCTATACGCCCATGACACCTCTTCTTAAGATGTAATGCCAAAATTATCAGTAAGTTTCCTGCTAAAACTGGGATCATTACTTTACTATGAGGGCTTGACGCTGTCACTTGCATTCTTTTTTGTGACCCATGCTGCATAAATTCAGTGCATTCCAAAGCTCCGCAAATATCTGCTCATTACTAGCTGAACAATTTTCAAAAAGTATGAACATTCGATTTTGAAAAGGTGACTTAATATGCCGGCGGTTTATGTCACAGTACGACCTGTAATTCAACGATAAAGAACCAGCTCAGAAGAATAAAACCTTGTCCGGAAATGGTTAGTCCACTTTAAGTCACGCTATTTGCTAGGGTGGTTCAGAAACTGGACATTTTCCATAGATTCAATCGTTGCCAATTTTTTTGTTAGCCCAATGGCAGAAAGTCAAGTATTTTGAAATGTACGTTTTAATGACTAGTGGACAGGAGAGTGCAAAGTTATATATTGTGGACAGTGTGTGCAGTTATTGGAGATACACGACATTCAGTGATGCGACAGTTGACTTACCTCGGACTAGAATATTTTGGAGCAGACTTATATTTATTAGAATAACTTGGCATGCTTCACAGTCACTGGAGGTGCTAAAACGCGGTAGTCATGGATGTGGCTTGATCAGAGATAAAACTGTTCAATGCGCCTAACCAAAAGCCATGATTCTCTCGAATTGCTGAAATGCTTTATGGCGCCAAAGTGCCTCATAACGGCTGTTATCGACGTGTGCAATCAGCAGTGCCGTCCAAGCTATGTTGAATCGTAACACAGTGGTTCGAAGTATTAGATTTTTAAAGTTTTATGGAATATCAGTAAGTCGACACCGGAAAAGCACATTCTACCTCAAATTGTGCCCAGATTCAAACATATTCCAATAGCTTGTTTAATCAGATTTTTAGATTTAGCGAATGCAAAATAATGCACAACAATTGACGTTTTGATAGTGGAACTTTGGTAATACCTGTATTTCAGCTGTAATCTTCGTTCACCTTCAAACAAGCGAAATACGATGGCATTTCTATAAACAAGACAATACTTTATTATTAATTTGGAGTATGCTACAAATTACATTTTGCGGCGCTAAGCTGATTAGCATAAACCCTAGAAATTTCTGAGAAAAGTACACATGAATGAGGGCTGATGAAATCTGCATTCACTTGACACTCAGGTCTTGCACTAAAGGCAAGCTCTGTATTTGACTTCGCAAAATATGCAACTAAATGTTTTAATTATCACATGTGCTCATTTTGGGTGTTTGTTTTATAGGAATCAACGACTCAAAAGTCTTTCTCTTGATCAGATAAATTTTGTTTAAACTGTAAGTCGTATCTTTTAATTATGCATTTCATAGTTAAACTCATCTCGCGAGGAAGCAGATGACAGGTACTTTAAGGCAAAAACAAAAAAGAAGCAATTACTGCGAAAGCAAAAGTTTGCAACTCACAAACGAAGTCTGGTTTTGAAGCCATTTTAGTTTTTTTTTTCTCAGCCCATTATAATTGATCGTTAAGGTGACTAAAATTATTGGTATTAATCTCATATTTCTTGTTAAAGCGTTCACATTGGAAAAATATTTGAGCCAATGAACCACAACATTTCCTAAACACCAAATAAGAGTAGTAAAATTAATGAGATGAAAGTCTACCCGATAAGCTGAACCTCACTCTAAACCTACCGCTGTACCACTTAGGATTATCGAATATGTGCAGAGCAGTCATATGTACATTCTTGAGTTCCTATTATTAATTTTCAGGAAATTATGTAAAGGGAGCGCCACAAAATAACGGTTTTCTTTCCGGCATCATAATTATAGCACGGAGTAGTTATTGATATTTGGTTTCTTATGACCTTAGTGGGTTTAAAGCATCTTGAATTCTAGGATTAAAATAGATTCGCACCAATCGTTGTAACCTCACCAGGAAAGCTTCAAAGTGAGTTCAAACCTGCAAAACCAGAATAGATTCTGTCATAAATATGGTCGAGTTAGTTTGTAAGTGTAAGGTCTAAGAGAGTCAACTATGCCCAGTTCAAAATTAGGCTGTTTTTAATTCATTATTGTAACCAATTGTACAAAGACTAAAGGGTTACCGCGAACGTAGCAATCAACATCCAAATTCAAAGCTCTCCCACAGCCCTCAAGTCCATCATAATTTGATCTTTGTCATTCTCAACAGAATGAGAGGGGTCCCAGCCAAAATAAAGACAATGTTGACATACAAATAAGCTGACCACCTCTTCAGCAAGGATACAAAATTCGGCGTTCAAAACTGACACAGTTAATGCTTTTAAACAAATATCCAAAGTTTAGTTTGGCAATTACCTTATCAAAGTGAGTTCAATGTGCTCCTCCCAAAATTGCCGACTTTGCTCCTCAGGGAAAAGTGCAATTGTACAAATCAGAAAAGCCCTCGGATCTCTAGTGGAGTCGAGTTGGGAAGACAACGAAACCACAGAACCAGTGGTCAACGGTTATGGTGAATCGGCTCCAGTTAGCGAGGTTGTTGGTGATTGTCTGAGATGTTGGGAACCAGATATGGTTGGGAATGGAGGCGATCAGCTGGTGTCAATTGAAACGGTTGACTGATATTTTGGACTCCATTGAAGAACTGCAAACTTGTGCACAATTGTACTTTTGGAAAATGCATGTATTGGCAACCTCACTGTGCGTCATTTGGTCACAAGTGTTACTGCTGATTAAAATGACATCATGGTGAGTAGAAGGCTGTAACTCCAGCATAGATTTCTTTACAAATTGTACATTGCTAATAGTTTTGTGAGTGACCCAAGAAAATAATGAAGCAACACAAATATAAGGATTTGCCTGCTGGAGCCCTGTCTAAAATCGTCGTTTATTTAAAGAACCCACTAAAACAGTGTTGGAGAAGTCAGTCTTTCCCTGGACAATTTACTTCGCTGCTTCTCTACTCACCCTGTTTTTCGTTTATGCACAAATACTTTAGCTGTTGCACTCCAACGGTCCCACCATTCATAGTCACATTATTTCTACTTCACGTTGCCTACTTACTTCAGTTTTGATTCCTCGGGTCAATGTCACCTAAGATAACCTATTAGCTGCCCATTCTGACATGTTGTTTGGCTATAATTTTGCGAAATTTTGCATCACTACAAGATTTATGTTAATTTTTAAAACAAAATTACACAAACCATTTATTCCTATACGATCGTCAAAACGTCACTTGTGACTAGATGCTCTAGTTAAATGGCTCTCTTTGGTAAAAATGATACTAAGAATATGTTCTAGACTCATTTGTGAACCAGAGTCATTTTTCGGGAAAACAAACCCGAAATTCTAGGCATCATTGTTTTGGCGAGACACGTGTATGAGTTAGTATTAGTTAGGACTGCTTCAAGATATTATCTGAGAAGGCATTCAGATTTTATTTCTGCGTCACACCTATTTGATAGTCGAAGCATCTACTTCAACAGGTTGGTATGTACTAAGACTGAACCATCACTTTTCCCCACAACAAGCGACCGTAACTGTCTGCATGGTGACTGTATTTTAAGATGAGGCCTACATTTTGTGTCGTAGGTGTCAGTACGCTTAACGCACACGACTCCATTAATCTGTTCTGATAACAGGATCTTTTAGACCTGACTTCCAGAGAACGACATTTCAGTTTGCAATGAATGTCACTCAGCGTTTATCAAACGTTGTGTAAAACTTGGTTGCAAAAATAAACTATTCACAGTAATTTATCAAGGAATTATTAAAAATAGGTTAAATTATATGAAATTCTACTCAAAATCAGTCAAAAGTGCTTACTGAGTGTCGTCCAATTTAAATTTCCAGAAATTGTACACCATAACCTGGCTAACAACCGCCTTCTGGGCACATTTTAAATTAACTAGCTTTCTCTGTATACATCTTAAAACTAACCTGTTCTACGATTGATTCAATATTCCAAGTTTATTACGCGGCTTGAAGATTGTCTGGAATCTTGAATGAGTTGTTTTGAGTTCCAATTTTTCATAAACGTTGACCATTATCCATATTATGAAAAGGAAATAAATGGGATAAAATTTTTACGGGATCAGGATTCAAGCACTAACTGTTTTCATTTAAGCAAAGACACAAAAATTGCTGCGGCAAAAGAGATTCAGAACGAAAATTTGAAAATTAAATGTTTGCTTGTCTCATGAACCATTGTTGATTACAAGTACATAACGGACATTAAAAAAACACTATTTTTGCCTATTAACATTTAACATGAATTCAATATAAATAGTGACTGTCAAGTAATCAAATTTCCTAAACATTGAGTCATTTTGCAGTGAGGAGCACGAAGCAGGTCTGTACATTCTTGTAGATAAGTTATGCTATATTACTAGCAAGTAGAATTAAACTGAAAAATAAAATTGGCTTTCACAGAAGCGTCATGCTTACCTGCATATTGACTAATCTAGTTACCTTGGCTGTATTTAACCGGGTCCTGCAATGTGAGACCATCGAAGCACCCGTCCGAGCGCAGACGGCTGTGACGACGCGACTACGGCACCTGCTCTCAGGAGCTGTAACCAGCACACACGGGCGCACTTGCGCAGCGCACATCCGCGCACTCGAATTGGGAGGCTTCGCCATCGGCAGCCTGACCATGGGCGGGCGAATGAAACACCTCCACCATGTTCGCAGCAGTTTTGCTTAATCGGTTCTCGTGGCCATACAGGCTGGCCTGTGTGTGTGTGCTTGCGTACATGAATGCATGCGGTTTTTGGCATTTGTCACTCAACTCACAACCCATCACGGATGTAGCTGCGTTAGTCTGACTCATTCTTGGAACTTAACTCTGATAATCCTCGTAAGTTACTGTAATTAACTGTTATTAAAAGCAGTACTTAAAATAAAATGTGTTGCCAAGGCTCCTACACATAACATCTTTCACTTCGGTTTAAAAGAAAGGTATTCAACAAAATATTCTGGTCATCGATGAGTCCTGCCTCAATTATCATCCAGATTATAGCTGGTTAAATAGTCAGTTGACAGCACTTGTTAGTTGAAATTCTTTTAGCCTCTTATTTTGTTAATTCAGGCATATGACTTGCAGAGTTTTCTGAAATAAAATCATTTGGAGCCACATTGCAATAGGAGCATTACTCTTGTCCCACGCATTTTGCTATCGTTCTATCGATAAAGATTTTCCCCGTTATCTCTGCATACGTATGTACTAAAATTAGAATAAATGTGCCCTGTTCTGCTAAGATAGTAGATTAATGTCTTTTCACTCACAATCCCACGGAGATGAAGTGTCTTGCATTGGAGTTGTGCGAATAATCTAATGACTTTTTGCATAAAATATGGACATGATTTTGACTGTTCAGCACGAGAGAGTTTTTGAAACTGCGGTAGAACAAAAAAAACTAACAGATAATTAACTTTCACTAAAACTAAAAAATTGAATTAAAGGCGTGATTTAAGTGTGCTGGTGTTGTAGGCAAAGTAAACCACCCTTTTCAGTCATCAAAGATTGATATCAAACAAACATTCATTCAACATTGACGTGCAAATTAGGCAGCCTCAAGGCGCAGTCCAGCGACCCTTGAAGTGTTTATCTGTGGTTGGTGATAACTTCTATGAACTGCAATCATAGTTCTGAAGGGCTACTGGCCTGCTTATCACAATGAATTACTGAAGCATGCCAAGAAATGAGCAAGTTTTAATTTTATTTTCCCTTAAGAACGTACAGCTTAAGAAGCAGTAAATATCAATTTTTAGCTATGAATGCTTGGTGAAAATTAAGGGAATAAATAAATAACAAACAAAAACAAACAATCACAGTGGTGTTTGGCATGTAGGCCACCAGATTAATGATTAGGCAGTTTACTTGATTGAAATTCACTAAGGGTCTCAAATCTGGTATTAGGCATTACAAAAGTGACTTGCCTGTTTACAAAAAAGAGGAGCATCAAAGTTTTGACTTCATGACCGTGCACACAATCGTCAAACTTCTTAATTTATTTGTAGTTTGTAGGAAAAAAGAATCTGCCGTTGAAGCTACTTTTATTCAAATGCATTTATAATAATCTTGGCCAGTAACTGTTGGCTTGGTACATTTTTAAAGAAGGTAAATACGATAAGAGCTCATTAGTCTTTGAATATCTTAAACCAGAATGTTTGGAGCCTTGATGCATTTAAACTTGGCCTTATCACGATAGTCTTATTTTTTTTTCTAGTAATCCATCTTATGCTTTCGTAAGCATTAACGACGGGGAACTTTCATTGCAGACTGATAAACCACATCTTGCACTGAAACTTTGACTGAGCCTATGCTTTTGAACTCTAGTTAAATCGAAATCAAATTTTTTGTCTAACGCGAGACGGCTGTAAAATAACAGATAGTTTGTGAGCAGGTAATCAGTAAGATCCAGCTGACACACACGCCTGGTATAGTTTTAGTTGTCTTCTCCTACTAGCTAGCTTGAAGAGACCCTTATAATGGTTTTACACTGAAATTACGCAAAAATTTTGGCAAAAAAAAGCGATTTTAAAACTGCATAAATTTTGTTATTTCAAACACTGTGTAACGAGTTGAGTCAAATATTGTGCGGTTAGAAAACCACACCAGGGCCGACAATCTGCGTTGACACGTTTCGAACAAACGAAGGGTAGAAATGCAGATAGCGCGTAGGTCAACCTATTTATTGATGCAGCAGCGGTGGGTCGGAGTTATTTGGTCTTTTAAATTCCCAAATATTTTGCAACCACATCTGCAGAATGTATTCTATCAATGCATTCAGAGGCTATTTTAGTCTCTGCTTGCATATTATCGACTGGACCCATATCACAGTGGTTGCAGCACATATGCAAATGTATTTATACTAGCGTACATTGGTCGGTCTAACAAACCTATGAGGCGGGTATTTGCATAATATTCTAGAGAGGAAAATGGCTGTCTCTTATTTTTTTTCTTGCGGTAAGATGCAATTCTGTTTTCTGTCCGTGCGTTAGACATTTATTGAATTCACCACTTTGCGCATTAATTTAAAGCTCAGTTTGCAGTTTTCTCCTAAATTTGCATTTATCCGCTTTTTTACACTACCCTTCATGTAACCTGGTTTCATCAACCTGCATTTACACTGCATAACATCACCTTTAGCAAAAAAGACAAAAAAATTGACAGCGAAGTAACCCATATTTCATGCAAGCTACCAGGCATTAACTGTCTTGATCAATCATTACCAACCTGTCATGCACATAAAGGAACCTATAAATCACGGTTGTTACTTTTGCATTGCAGACAGTTGCTTTTTGCAAAGTGATGAAGGGCGCACTCTACGCTCTCATCAAGTCCAATAATGATATTTTGATTAAAGAAAATATTATTGTGGTGCTAAGGGACTAATTGTTGTCATTAATAAAACCCTTTTCTATTAATTGCACCGAATTCTTAACTTGTTTTTTTTTTAATTTCTATTCTTCTTAGACCAAACTGCACGCAAAATGTTGTAAAACAACAAAGCACAGATGAAAATTCCAGTACCACAACTGCTTAGTAAGTCGTCAATTCATAACGTAGTCAATTTTGTGCTTTATCTTTGGTTTTACCGCAAATACTGAATGCGATGCAGCTAGAACTTTCAGAATTTGGCGTGTCAACGCGGTAATTTAAAGGTGACACAAATAGGTATTTCAATGAGCTCTAGATATCTGTTTGTGTTCATTTTTATCCATAAACTTTTTTTCTTCTTCGAGCTAACACCATTCACTGAAATCGTTATTGTTTTAGAATATTAAGGGCATTTTTGACGCATCAAAATTATTTTGAAAAAATCCATGGTTATTGCCAGTTTGTTTGTCAGAATGCAGTACGAAAATGCATTAAAGCAAAAGCCCGATTTAAAAAAAATAATTGTTGAACCATTTGTATGGAGATCTGGTAAAACGACATATTCATTGTGCTGCGGTTTTACTTCGTCTATCAAAATTTCATAACCACTATAAAATATTACAAAAGGCCAAAGTTTATCGATTAGGAACAGGGGTTCCAATAAAAACATGACTGATGGTGAATTTGAAAGTGCTGCCATACATTGAATCATAAAACTGAAACTCATGCATAATGTTAATTTCGGCTACTACTTTAAATATGTTGGCAAAACTGCATTTGTTTCAGTAGACCATTTGTTTGTTTTACCCTAGTACTAAATTATAATACTCGGTGGTCGTATCGAACGACAAAATTCATTGAATTCTTTTACCCGCATTTACGTCACTTCGATGAAACCGATGATTAATGCAGAATCTACGATGTGCCCTAAATGAGAATGTAGGCCGATGCATTTATTTCCAATAGTGGTCATAATCTTGCGTAGAAAAAGGGAGGTAAATGCTTCTTCCATTAGCACGTAATAAGATTGACAAGGCTTACAAAAACCGATGCAGTCCATCATTGAAAGAGCCCGTGACAGAAAGTGGATATTTTCTGGTAGGGAAGACGGTGGAATTTGAGGCATTTCGTGATTACTCAATCTAGTGCCGCATTTTAAATAAAAACTTTTTCCCAAATTTACAAAATACCCACAGGGATTCCCTCATTTTCAGGAAATTTATACATTAAGCCATCCGACGTAAAGACCGTCATGTCGGATGAAAAAAGGCAATGATACACCTGTAAACAGCTGTAGGCAGTGTTCGCCTAAATGGAAACTGCTTTAGAAACGCCAATGCTAGTGTATTCTTTTGCGTCGAAATAATTTTAAACTTGGCAGTTTTCTTTACAGTTTCTTTCTGCATTTCCTGCTGCCTCTCGGCAATGATGCCTCCAAATGTTGACGCAGAGCAAAGCAAGGAGTACTTTATCCAGCACCCAGTCAGTCAGTCTGTGACACTCAACAGCACCTTCACACTGGCCTGTCGATTTCTAGTGAGCCTTTTTCAAGGAGCATCACCGGACTCACCAAAGCCGGTGGTACAGTGGGTCAGGAATAAATTCGGACTCGGGGCTACTCGAGAGGATATTCAGGAGGCTGGCATGGAAACAAACTCCCCCATTTCTCGATACGACTTGCCATACAACCTCGACGAAGGCAAGACAGTAACTCTTAAAGATTTACACCAAATTCGCATTCAGTTTAGAAGAACTTACCAAATTATTAAGGCTACCTAAGATAACGTCTTATAAGACGTAGAGAAAAACAATTAGCATAGGCCCATCTATCGAAAATGGTAGCTTATTTTGTGTTGCTTATTGTATTTTCATGAAAAGTTTAAATGGTCTGATTGTGCCAACTGACTGATCGTAATCAATGCGACAATTAGCTCAAATGTTGATCAGCTACTTAAATATTTCTCAAACGAAACTCAGCCATTAAAAATGTACGAATAGCACTGCTAAATTGGAATTTGCCTGTCACACAGGTGCACCTTTGTCTAACAGAATGGGTAATTTAATTAAATGACCCGACTACCTTCCACTCACTTCATAAGTGGGAGTGCTAATGAACGTTTAGGTTTAGAAAATGTGCACAATACGAAACATTTCCAGAGCCAACAGCAGAGAGAAACAAGCTAGAGAAGGTAGTCAGCTGGATCTCTTTGTATCTGAGTTGCGTTAGTAATTAAACTAGTGGGTTATAATGGTATTTACGTACCATTGTCCGCAATCCACGAAAGCTCTACAGAACAAGGTATAGCTCCAAAGAAATATTGATGGTCTTTCAAAATCACCAAATCCATTGATTGAATATTGTCGGTCTAAAAATCAGTAAGGATGTAAATAATATCCTTCTATCTCATGTTAGAAATCATAAAAACAAATTCACATTTCCACTCCTTGTTTAGAAAGCATTAATAAGACAATAAATAGCTTACAACGGAATTGTGGGACATTTGTCATGATGTTTAGCGATTTTGGACATTGTTTTTGGGCAAAATAGCTGCATTCTAAGTTTTTATTAACTTTGATTAGACAAGCGAGAACCTGTGTGCTCCACGTCTTATGCCTCTAACGTCTCCTGTTTTAAATCCCCTTTTTCCTTGGCCTTCGTAGAATGAAATCACCATGAGCTAAAAGTCAGCAGAAAGACACCCTCTTTGTTAACGCAGGTCGGCTGTGCACTCCCAAAAATGCAACTGCCATAACTGATTGCAAGGTCAGGGAATGAAAAGAAATTTTAGCCCCTGTGTGCATTTGCTGTAACTCCATATTACCTCAGAATAGCTGCTGAAACCAAATGCAGTTACGATATCGGCTTAAACTTAATAAACGACATTTCTATAGCAATCAAGCTAGATGGCAGGCATTCACAGCGCAGATTCCATGTAAAAAGGGTGGACTAACAAAGGTATTTTGTTCTAGGACAATACGATCTTCAAATACGCTACGCAACTAGTTTGGACGAGGGCAAATATGTGTGCCAGCTGCATTACGGCAGAAACACCTACTTTAGTCAAACTGCAGATGTCAGGGTCTTGGGTAAGCTATGTGAATTAGTAACTTCTGTTTTCAAAACTCGAAACTACGGAAATGTCAAGCAATGGACGAATACAAAGGCAGGCGACATGGAGAATTAATGTTAAAAGCATCCATCAAAGCTTAGCCTTAAAGTCTCACACTTGTGGTTATAACGTAATATAATATAGTTTAGCCTTTCCAATGCAAGATCAGATCAAATTAACTTAAAAGGAAGATTCCTTGAATTGAGTGAATTTTCAGAGAAACAAAACTGCTAAAGAATTTTCGGAGGTTGACTTTTGAACAACAACCCTCAAGTGGGCCTGGTTATTAAACCGATAATTGGGGCTGTCTAAGGCTTGCAAAAGGTAGCCATAGACACGATCCCTTAGCCTCAAGCTAGCTGTTAGTTGAATGTGTTCAAAGGCTTTCAGCGATGTCTCTGAAAGAACCAGCATGAATGCGATAATGTGCTTGCCGAACTACAAATAGTTAAATTCACCTTAATTTCAGCCCGAATTTGTTTTACTGACTTACTAATTAAAAAAACCTTTTCTAAAATTGCTTTTCAGTGGCATCAGAGCCGCCTGAATTAGCCCAGTCTGATGCTTCCACATCCAACATAGTAAAAAGAGTAGGACCCCAGGTGTTCGCCACAGCAACGGAAGGTACTTACATGAGGCTTCATTGCTTCGCCAGAAACGGGAAACCAGGACCTAAGCTCTTCTGGTTTCTGAATGGAAGTCCTCTTTCAATTTTGTATAATGAAAATGGAACAGAAGGACAAATAACAAGTCCAATCGAAGGAAATGTCTCCGTTAAAAGCATATCCTCGGGAGTACCACCGTTTCTGTACGTTTTGTAATTGAAGGCGTGCACCACAAAAAAATTAAGAAGTTAATGCATTACACACAAAAGCAACAATGTCTTAGGGTTGCATAATAAAATCACATTAACTATAGACGTTTGGACTGTTCTTTACATTGAATAGCTCATCTGTTAAGTTTACAAAAACAGTCAAATTTTCAATTGCAATTATAGATGAATGCAAATGAGTGAAGCGTGATACTTAACTTAAAAGAAGGGTCATTTCACGTATTTCTTCATTTTTTCACATGTACCTATGGGCAAATATTGCAGCTTAACATAAAATTTCTATTTCAGTCGCGCAAAATACTTGATGCTGACGGCTTTTCTGTTATGTTCCCTTCACAAGAATTTGATAACTACTCTTTCGAAGAAGTATCCGGCAGTAAAAAGTTGTTCAGGCGACGAGATTGGAGTGTAACACGAACGCACTAACGGCGTTTGTGATAAAATTTCCAGTGAGACCACGACAGCTCTAATCAGTTTTACATGGCCCAAAACGTAACGCGTTGGAAGCAATTTATCAAGGACTTTTTCAAGAGTCCATTTTTTCCGTTTAGGGTGACCACGGTGAGTGAGATCGTAGTTTACGTCACAAAACTACACCATGGCTCAAAGATTCAGTGCAACGCACAGAACGAAGGCTACGAGAACCACCCCCTTGAGCCCGCTTACACGAAGCTCAACATACTTTGTAAGGAAATTGATAGAGTCACCAGTCTTGATTCTTAAACCATAACCCTTAGCATATCAAGGACTTAGAAAATTATGTACTAATTTCTCTGTACTTATGTGCTAGTTTAAGGCCCACCATTTACTAACTTATGACACACTTTAACGCTAATTAAAATAAAAACGGTCAGGGACTTCTGGTGTTAAACGTTTCAATCTAATGTAAAGCGTTTGTTTTAGTTAATGAGATTTGTATTCCATCTATTCACATGACTGAAAGGAAGCATACAATTAAATGCCCACATCAAAGTCTAATTGCTAGAAGTACACTGATATTTTGATATGAAATTGAGGTCAGTATATCTCTAAACGTTGCTCAATTTTGAGGTCGAAGCAGCAGCCTAAAAAGCCATTTGCCTCTTATTCTCATCCACGTTGCCATGTAGGGCCATAGATCATTAGAAATTAGGTCAATTTAGCAAAGAATTGTATTTTTTTAATAATGAAGTTCGTCAAAGCTTTTGAGAGGGAAATGCCATCATGTATTTTATACTGGTTTAGTTGAGGTATTTCCCAATTCCAGATGCGCCATTAGTACAGATGCACATTTCCTCTGTGACGGGTCGACGACAGTTGATGGAAAACGATGTCGTAAACATACGCTGCTCCGCCGAAGGAAGGCCAGACAACTTCACGTGGAGGTAGGTCATGGTAACACGTTTTCCAGTATCCTTAACTCACCGGTTCAGTTCAGTGTTAGGAGATTGCACCTTGCGTAACTTATAGAATAGATAAATTACATTCTACGCCAACATTTTCGCTCAAGTGTGCTAAGAATTTCAATCAAACATTATAAACTGCAGACCTCCAGACGTCCTTATTGTATTTTGAAGATTCAATACAATACATCCTGACTAAAGAATACCAAAATGTACCTCCAATCAAGATAGTAGCGCCAGCATGTTCCGAAACTACTACTTAAGTGAGGAATCGGGAGTTCATGGCTACGAAAAAATATGTTTGACAAATTAATAGCAACTTCTCCCTGAAAGATATGCACGTAGGATTCTTCATGTTAAACTAAACTTTAATGTGAATGCAGACTGCTTTTTGCGGCCTCTGAGAAAAAAAGGGAAGAATCATTGCAAAACAATAAACACTCTAGGCTTTTTACAAGAAATGAAAATAAGAACATACCTGTCTAAGACACTTAGGCCTCAAACTTGATAGGTCATATTTACAAGTGTCTCATTATTTCCTAAGATTTCAGTCATTTAAAATTAGTAATCTTTAAGCCTTTTGCTGAATTAGCATTCTTCAGAGAGGAGAAAATTCCACCATCATTCTTAGAACACCAGGTACCTGAATTTATCTCTTTTAATACTACTGACAATAATGGAAAAACCCAGATGTAGATCTCTGTGTTAAAGGTAAAAAAGAATCGAAACACGATCTCTCATTAAATAGAGTTTAGTGACTGAAGTAAACAGTGGAATGTAGTTTAATTGCAAACAACACTTCTGTTACCAAATATTGGGCCAGGTTGCTATGCATTAATCCTTACTAATAATTTAATCATTTTACAACTTTTTTTCAAACATCTGAAAGGAGCATTTTAAGATAATTGGCAAAAGACTCTTGAAGTTATTGACAGATCGGCACAATTTTTGAAACTAGCATGGGTACGACAAAGTGGATCAAATAAGCCGTTATTTTACGTTTTATTTTTTAGCTGGATGATAAATGAATCACTTGTTGAAGGAGAAAATTCAGACGTTTACCGAATTCGACTTTCACGAGAAATAATTAACACAACGGTGACATGCATCGCTAGCACTTTTGCAGAAGGATATAAAAAGACCACACTCTCATTCCTCTGTAAGTTGTAATTCTATTTACGAAATTAAGCTAAAAATTTCATTCTAATTTTCGTTGTGGCGTAAATAATTGAGCGAAAGTTACAGAGAGAGGATTCAAAGTTCAGATGTAAAGAAAATAAATTATTTAAATGTGGAAACTGCGCAACATTCAATCGTGATTTATAAAATTCCAAGAAATGATTTGTAGAGACACTTCCATTGTTATTAAAAGTGCATAGTAGCTCGATAAAAACTTAGCGTAAAGTTCTGATAGGACTATCGGGTATCCAATCAACACTTTCTAAGTGAAAGCATACACGCATACGTTGATCTTAGCATCAAGGCACAGTTCTGTAGGGTGAGGCCGTGCTAAATACCAAACATTCAATGTAGAAGTTAGATCAACTCGTGGACTGACTGATGGTAAAACGTTGAAAAAGGCTGTGCAAACGTCACAGAAACAAGGGTATCTGTCTGGTTGTACCACTTCAAAACCTTCGTGACCACTGGCTGACACTGCTCCCACCAAGACAAAATACCCCGCAACAACAAGAAATCTATCAATGGCAATGGGAGAGAGGTGACGGTTTTTTAAGACATTGGAGGCAGATCGCTGAAGTGTAACCATTTGTTGAATGCAATGGATAGCGAGTAGATGAAACGAGTGTGTGGACTTGATTGTGTTGTTAGAACAGAGCTGTTTTAAGTGACTGGAAACATGCAAGTAAGGGATCGCATTAAAACAGAGTGCGTCATTGGACTTATCTTTAGTTTTGTTGTTAGGAGAACTGTGTTACTGAATAACCCATCAGCGAAAGCTAAGGTCTTGATTTTAGTCTTTCGCAAATGAAGCAAATGATCCTCCGTTCGTGCCTTAGTTGTTGCTTAGACTTAACGCGTACTAATTCAGTTGGTGGCTATGTATTCGCAGTCGAAATGAATTTAACTAGTCCCGCACAAACTAGTTACTTTTTGGTGAACTGCGAACTTCATGTCTGCGTGGGGAGGACCTGCATCACCTCGGATCAACCACGGAAATGCCCTTCAGCTGATGTGGTAGTATAACATATTCATTCAGGCATCAAAGCTTGACATTTGCGGACTGATTCTGCTGTGTTCAGATTGGAATCCTATCAGAATCCTTCATCGCAATAACGGTTGCTGTTATGTGTAAATGTCCATGCGTCAACAAGCCACATTATAAGCCGCAAGTATTTGTTTTAAATATATCGACGAGTTGTACGGTCTGTCTACGTCCTAATCAAATGAAGAAAGTTGAATGACAGACGCAAAACACAATGTTTGACCATATCACACTCGTACACGCATTGCCGATCTCCATGTCGTACGTCCGTACACCGGACAATTCGGCTGACACATCGGGCTCATTTGCATTGCTTACTACGTTTGTCACACCTTCCTCACGTAGACACTAAATATGCGACCTTGGTTAATGTTCGACTTATGAATTATGCACAAGCTGCCTGAGAAAATCAATCTCTCGATGTCATGCAAAATTGCTGCTAACGACTATGCATTTTGGAAATCTGAATCAGTGGTTCATTGGTTCAAGTATATCACCACGCTTGATTCCATTCAGCATCATTTCAATCACCTGCTGCAAAAAATTCATTTCTTAAGATGACGCTTGCACGATTGAGGGATGGACACTCAAGATCCACACCCACAAGATGAGGGTGATTAAGAGAACTGTGATATGCATTGTGTATTCGTGCTGTTCTTTAAATAGAAGCCTTGGACATGTGGGAACTTCAAATGTGATTGACAAAACCCAAATCCTTTCCCCGTGCTTGTCTTTGCGCTGAAAGCAATAAAAATAATCTCCGAATATCAAAATATTTATGCTTATCAGTAATTTTTTTAAAAATACTTGGAAGCACTACTCAAATTTCACTGAAAATGTCATTTGTCAAGGCGAATGTTTATTAACGAATTAATTCCTATATATATATATATATATATATATATATATATATATATATATATATATAAT